CAAATACATTAGTAACTAAACAAAAATTATTCTACGAGCAAAAGGGGATCAGTGTAACTTACCTTCTTCTAGGGACTCCAAAGACATGTTGTTACTGAAAAAACTGTACTTCTACAAGTTCGCGGTCATCACGAGCTTCTTAGCGTCCCGACTTTCCTCGGGAAGGACCCCAAAAGACACGAGCCTGTCTGGGTCAGTGAGCAAGTCTTGGCTGGTCGTCTTGTTAACTGCAAAAGAATGCAGGTCGTTATAATAAAGGAAACGAACATCCAATGCACCTAGCGAAGAAGAACCTACTTGGTTTCTGAAAGCGGCAGTAGCCGTCGTAGCAGAAAAAGAAGAACTTGGTCTCGTAGGCCCCCGCGTTGCTGGGATAGCTATGTATCCCTTCGGCGATGGTAGGTCGCCGGGACAAGTAATAGGAGTCCTTGTCCTTACTCTTTTTAAGATAATAGGCGATGCCGAGCTTCACCGCCGTTAGCTCGCCCAAGCCACTCTCGCGGCATGCGATGTACATTGCGACGGCGATGACATACACGTTTGGCGTCAATTGCATTGGCACAATCCCGAAATGATCCAGGACCGACCTAATAAAATGATGGAAAGGAATCATCCCTCCACCCTTGAAGATCTCTTTAGAGATCGTAGCTAGGCCCTCGGAAGGATGCCGCGACGATCGGGTGTCGTCGAGGAACACCTCTGCGCGGACGTCGAACTGCCTTTTTATCCTCTCAAACTCGTATCGGGTGAGAACCGAGAAGACATCAAGGGATGCGTCTGCGGGAATATCCCGCGAAGACGAGCTAGCTCCTTCCTCGGGTCTGGACGTTGAAGGTTCCATTCCACAATCTGCAACACCGACCGACAGGTCATTTTAGCCATCGCACGTTGCCCCGCATGGCGGCATGGGACAAATTCCTTAAACCCTAACAGTAACTCGAGCCGTCATCCACGGCTCGAATCCGATGCCAGCGTCGCGTCTCTGGTGAAACACCAGGAGACCCAACGCTATTGCCCACCAAATATAAAAAAAGAAAGAAAGAAAAAGACCTTACCTTCTGGGGGGCGTGACCGAGGACGGATCTCGTTTCGGATATCGGAGAGATGCCAATTGGAAGAGAAGAACTTCCGGTTTGCAAAGATTTTTCGCTCGAGGCAGAAGGGATTCTGGTGGCGTCATCTGAAAAATTTGGGCTCTTATATGGATTACGAACTGACGGTTACCACCCCTCGTAATCGAAACGACAGTCTTCTCTCCCTCTCCGCATTAAATACGCCCCACGTCGTATTCAATGTTATGATAAGGGCTATCGTTTCGAGTGTGTCGTGCAATTAATGCTCTGTCAAAACAACGCCAGGACAGCACACAACGCATTTAATGCGCCTGCCAGACACTTTAACATGTGCAGAGTGCTTGACAGTGCAGAAACAGGCCCATTGAATCTCCAACCTAAGGTGCGGTAAGAAACGCCCGATGAATCCAGGTCGCTAGGATGATGATTGTTAAGTCGTTTGGGCAAAGATTGCGTGAGGTCGTGTTCGCAAAAGGCCCAGTCCCGAGCTTCTTCCATTCAGATCGAAATCACCAGAACCTCCAATCGCGGCATGACTTAGTTTCCAAGGTTCAATCATCAAACCTTAAAAACTAGAGGACTTCTGTTATGCCTGGGAAATCAAGGGCTGACGTGGGAAGTCACGTGATGAAGTGTGACCTGCTCCGTCAGAATAGTAAACACACGTCAGGCTTGCCAGAAGCTATGAAGCTCCCATGTGTCCATCTCCCTGCTCCAAATCACGTGAAATCAGCTTGAGACGTGGGCAATGTGCTGTAAAGCCGGATTATGTCCTGACATTCACACCAACCCATAGATTTAATGATGATTACTTGCATTCATCTCGATATAAAAAGAGGAAGACCCCTTCATTAGGGGGATTCGGCTATTTTTTACACTGGAACTCTCTCTCTCTAGAAAACTTTGTATTTATTTTTCCTAATCATTTGTAAGTCAGTCCGCTGTTGCGACCTGACCCATTACTCTAATACAAATCAGTGGACGTAGGACTTGCTACCTTAGCATCCGAACCACTTTAAAAAGCTCTCATTGTATTTACTCTACTTGCTATCCATAATCACGTGTGTCTCTTGACCAATCAACGTTACGCACGTGTTGATTAGTTGGTGTCAAAATCACGCATCAACAGCTCCCTTAAAAATCTCTTCACATTTAATAGGCAAATCCTGAAAGTTATTCATGGCAAACATGAAATCTAAAACACAAATATTCCATATTTTGATTTCCTTGTGGCAATTACCCCATCCTGAACTTCACCACAAACAGCACCGTCTTGGCAACCTCCCCACCGACAACTTTCCAGTGACCTTCTTCTGGATCAACAACACCTCAACACCAACAGGCTTCTTTGGCCCGTTCTGGTTGACGTGCACCCGTTTATCCTCCAAGTACTGGTAAAAAGCAGAGACGACAAAGCAGGCCAAAAAGTCAAATCGTAACTGAGCCAAGAATTGGTTCACCATCAGTTGAATAGAAGGGTGAAAGTGCACCCCTAGTAGAAGGTCATGTGCATCATCTTCGCTAAGTTTTAGAAGGAGAGTGAATTTTAATTTCTTGTTGTTTTTGGATGGGTTTGTACGTGGGTTTTTGGGTGGGTTTGTGGTGGTTTTGTGGATGATTTGGTGGTGGTTGTTTGGTGGCAGCGAGGTTGACTTTAGGGTTTAGAAGGAGTGCGACGGTGGTGGTGGTGGTGGTGGCTGGATCCTGAATGGTGATGGTGACTAGGTGGGGGGTGGGGGGGGGGGTGGGGGGGTGGGGAGGAGAATTAAATGTCAAGGGGAATATGATAATGCATTATTTGCAATTGTGTTTGAAATCAAAATTTAGTAACAGTATCAATTTAAGGGTGGGAATCTGAATAAATGAAATCAGGAGTGGAAACTTGCCATTTTGACTAACCTTTGGTTCGGACATGTTTTTGGCCCAAAATCTTTTTTTAAAGGAGCTAATTGATTATCTTATACATATATAATATTATATTATATAAAATATTGAAATATAAACCAGTCGACCGAGAATTAATAAAGAATGACTTTAATATATCAAATATTAGAATATGACTCCGCTGGTACGAAAATATTCTCTCTAGCTGATCTATACGATTATGAAAGAATTATTACAAAATAAAATATATTATCTGTAAGGAGGAGGAGAAACTATTATTACAAAATAAAAACAATTTTTCCTCCTCTATTTATAATTTTATTTTTGTTGGGGTATTATAAGTTTTTAAAGGTTTTTTATCATTTTAAAAAGTTTTGAAGGTTATTATAATTTTATAGGGTACCTAAAACCAAAACTGGAATCATTGTTACAGGTTCTAGTTATGGGTACTTAAGAACCAGAACCATCTGTTTCAAATTTGAAAGAACTGTCGATTCTGATTCTTTCAAAAAATATAGGATACTCGAAACCAAACACTCTTAAATTTAAGGATAAGAATCGGAAATGAATAAAACCTGGGGTGAAAACTTCTTTGGGTGAGAGATGTTTTTGCCCAAAATCTTTTTTAAAGGAGTTATATGATTAACTTATAAATATATAATATAATATATAAATTATTGAAATATTATTCTCGGTCGGCTTTAATATAATATCAAATATTAGAATATGATTCCACCGGTACGAAAATATTCTCTCTAGCTGATCTATAGTTCTATACGATTATGAAAGAATTATTACAAAAATAAAATATATTATCCTAAAGGTCACCGTTCATCTTTCCTTCTCTAGATCTTGTGGTTAAACGCTAGATTTTTAGCCTGAGAAACTGGTCAAGATGGATAGAGAGTTCTAAGAGTATTGTTTTGATGTTCGAACCGTCGCTGGAGTGGCTCCAGAGACAGCGGCTGGTCGCCATCAACGGTTCCGGTCGCTGCCGCATCAGCAACCATTGATTCTGCCGGTGAGGTAATTTTCTTTTATTTTAATTTATTACTAATTATAAATCAGTAATTTTAGTATAAGTGTGTTTTATTAGTAAAATTAAATTAAAGCTTTAGTTTGAGGTTGTTCTAACTTGCGAAAGTATCAATTTTAAAAACACCCCAAGGAGTAATCCCAGATTTCAAAATTTTTATTTATCAATAGTTTTTTTTTTTTTTTTTTAAATTAAATTAACAATTTTGTAGAATAATTTTCAAAATTCGGCTGCGACGCTGGCAGTGGCTCTACTGAGATCGTCGTATGCGTGTCGTTTAGTTACAAAAGGCCGACAAAAGATTTGTTTGAAATTTGCTAGCCTCTATTTCCTAAATGCTACATCCTACGACTCTGAAACCAACACTACCGTGTAGATTCACGCACACAATATTGTCTTACATTTTAGTGGAGACAACAGCTGCCATCGCCGCTTGCCTATTTTTTTAATTTTCCATAATTTAAAAAATATTTTCATTGTATTTTGAATCTTGTATCCCTTTTGTGATTGTTTTTGAAAAGACTGACCTTAAATTAATAATTTTCCTTAATTATTTGAAAAGTAGGCCATAAATGATTTAGAAAGAAGCTTGTAACAATCATAAATTCAATAGCAATTCTTGATTGAACGAAAAATATGAGAAGAAAAGCTAAAAAGAGAAAAAGGAAAAAAAAAAAAAAACCATAAACTATATGACAAGCTAATAGAATTATTCATCAAAATTAATTTCTTTGAGATTTTGCATCAAATTAAACTTAACAAAACTTTTAATGTTCAAATTAAGAAGTAACTTCTTTGAACTTGTGCTAGTTGAATGGTTTTTTATCTTTTAAAATTTGAGGTCTATATCATATATATTTAATGGTATAAACTTCAAAAAAAAAAAAAAAAGTAAGTTTACAGCTTTGTATAGCCTTCAACCTTTATCGGTTTTCTATGTTATCTGGTTTAACAAATTCTAAAATTGTCTCTTTTTCATCATAGACAGCACCTCTTCCTTCCCGATCATGGTCAATGGAAAATCAAATTCAGTTGCTCTTCTTGTCCCCATCTTTACTGGGGAAAAATATCATTTTTGGAGTATCAAGATGAAGACATATTTTTTGTCCCAAAACTTATGGAAAATTGTTAATGAGGGACCGGAAAACACCTCCACGCTGTCTGAGTTTGAGTTACAACAGCAGCAGCAGAATGATGCAGCAGCACTATTCATCCTTCAGCAAGCTCTGGATGATTATATTTTTTCAAGAATTTCTGAAGCTAAGACGGCGAAGGACGCATGGCAAATTTTAAAAGCAGAGTTCCAAGGCAATTCAGAGGTAAGCTGTACCAAACTAAAATCTCTTCGTCATTACTACTTATCTGAACGAAATAGAGAAGCAACAGGAACAAAATAATAATAGTAAAACAAAATAAACAGTAAACAAAGAAATTATACGCGCGATTTACCCTGGTTCACCCAATGTGGGCTACGTCCAGCTGAGTCAATATTATTAAAATATGCCTCACCTCTCTCGTTTACAATGAATGAATTACTCTCACACTCATAACAAGAGAAAAGAATGTTTATATACTAGGTTTAAGAGATTAAACCTAGTTTTACAAGAATTCCTATTCCTAAGCCTAACCCAAAAAGGAATTAATAACTTAAAAGGAATCCTACAGCGGTTATACATAGAAAAGCCCAAAATCGTCTACGGGCTCGGGGGCGCTGCCCCAGCGACCCCCGCCCGCTCACCGGGGAGCGGGGCACCCGCCCGCTGACTGGGCAACGGGACCCCCGAGTGCGTCTCCGTTACCCATTAATGCTGAAGTAGTCGACAACTCCAACATTATCACCGCTTCTTCATTACGGCTTATCGCTTCTTCTCTATCACAGACTCTTCCCTTGCCAGAACAGGATATAAGTAAGTAGTAAAAAACTAAAATGAATTTTCACAAGTAGATAAATAATAGTTCAACCAAGTATTAAAATTTTTCCGTTTGTTTTTATTGCAGAGAATTGCAAGAAATACCTGCCACTATATAATGCTATACTCGAAGGTGATCTGTTATCTGTACAACAGCTGTGTGATGAGGATAAAGATGCGTTAGAAGCCAGGATCACGGTAAATTGGGACACAGCTCTTCATGTAGCTGTTGGGACAGCCAATGCTAATCATATTGTGGAGTATCTAGTAAATAAGATGTCAATGGATCAAGTGTCACTGAAAAATAAAGAGGGCAACACAGTCCTTTCTGTTGCTGCAATGGCTGGCAATCTCCAAGCAGCCAACATGATAATGAGGAAAGATGAACATCAAAGCTTGATTGAAGTTGAAAACAACTTTGACGGGATACCTTTAATTGAGGCTGCTCGACATGGGCAAAAGAAGATGACTGAATCTCTAATGCAATTTAGCAAAAGTTATTTGGAGTATGCTACTGCAACACGTTTTGAAGATAATTCTGGTGGTTATTTATTAAGTTTACTTATAATTGCAGGATTCTATGGTGAGTTAATTCTGTCTGTTTGTTGTTAGACTTTAACTTGATCTCACACTTTTTAAGTACAAATGCAAAGCCGTGCAAGTTTCATTTCACTTTATTAACAATTAATCCTAAATTCCTGTCCATCATTTATGTCTCAGACTTAGCTCTAGAATTGCTTCGACGGCATAAAAGGTTAGGCATATATGTTGGTGAGTCTCTTTTGACTGAAATAACCAGAAAGCCGTCCGCGTTTCCAAGTGGAAGAAGAAGAAATATAAAGTTACGGCAATACGTTAATGTTTCTAAGGGTGAGTTCATATATTTCTCATATCATTATTAATCTTCTATCATCTATTATCTCATGAATATCCTTAATTTATTTTGTTTTCTTCAGTCTGTTATATCTTCCTTTATTTGTTTTCTTCTATATTTGTAGCTAGATAGAAAATTGCCCTTACCTGATCATGAATTAATAAAAATTATTCATAAAAGCTGATACTCTGGCATTAATAGTTTAATACTAGCATGTAAGAATTGAATAACTATTATTAATAGGAAAATGTTTCCAACTAATATTTGGTAAAGCAAATAAAGGAAAATATATTAAAATAAGAAAAACCATAAAAATTTCTGTTGTGATAGGCCCAACCCCATGGATAATGATTAACGACAAGACAAATAGGAAAAAAATTAATAACACACACAAAACACAATAATTTATGTGGTTCAACTTTTTAACCTGTGTTTACGGGCAAAGATAAAGGAAGAACTTCACTAACAAAAATGGAGTACACAAATTTGGTGGAAAAATTCTCAAACCCAAATCCCAAATACACTCATTATCTCTCACACTCAAAAACTCACTCACTTAGCTCTCTCAACATGGTTTCTAAAATGAATTGAGAGCTTTGGTGAATGGCTTGTGTTTCCCTGCAAATGGCACCCATTTTCATAGTGACGGGAAGCCGTTGCATGCCAACATTTACGGGACAAATTGTGGGATTTAGAAGACCATGAAGCCACCAACTTTAGCTTGAGAATATTGACTTCTATTTGTGAGACATAAGCAAAAATTGTGCTTCCAATCCGGTGGCATTAAATGTCTCCATAGAAGTCCAACTTGAAGCCTTGAACATGTGATGAATGTGGAAGAAAAAGATCATGACATTCATGTGAACACAATCTCTATTCTATTCAAGCCACTAATTCAACAAATCTCCACTTTGGTTTAAATAGTAACAAAATCCATGCATAACTTCTTCAATTATCTTCTCCAAGTTTCTTGGAGGACTTATTGACCACAAATGCCTATCAAGTCCAAATACTTCCTAAACTTGACTGACAGAACTTGCATAGTCATCATGTTTGTTGGATTATCTGTTGTAGGAATCTTTTTCACTAAAATAGTGCCTTCAGATATAATCTCATGATGAAATGAAATTTGACATCAATATGTTTGGTTCTCTCATGGTACATCTAATTTTAGTTCAAATGTATGGCTTTCTAACTATCACAATGAACAATAGTTGCATCCTGTTGTAAACCAAGATCCATAACCAAACTCCTTTACCAAATTGCTTCTTTTACTACTTCTGTTCCCATTATATATTCTATAGTGGACAAAGCAATAGTGGACTGTAAAGTAGCCTTCGAACTAATGGCATGACCAGAAAGTGTGAAGACATAACCAATCAGAGTTCTCCTCTTATCCAAATCTCCAGCATAATCAGAATCAACACTGCCATCAATATCTATGTTTTTCCCATACACCAAACTAGCACTTCTAGTGCCTCTCAAATATCGTAAAATCCATTTCACAACTTGTCAATGCATTTTTTCTGGATTACCTATATATATATATCTACTAACAACACTAACGACATGGGAAATATCTGGGCGAGTGCAAATCATGACATACATTATTCTTCCAATTGCATTTGCGTAAGGAACACAAGACATTTGCTCCTTCTTTTTTGATGATTGAGGAGATAAAGCTGTTGAGAGTCGAAAATTTGTAGAGAGTGGAGTACTCACTTGTTTAGACTTATCCATACCAAACCGTTTAAGCACCTTTTCAATGTACTTTCTCTATGACAAGTATAACTTGTCATTCGTTCGGTCTCTACATAGCTCCATTCCCAAAACCTTAGCTGCATCCAAATCCTTCATCTCGAACTTCTTATTAAGTAGTTCCTTCAACTTGTTGACTTTAGACATGCTTTTAGTAGCAATAAGCATATCATCCACATACAACAACTAAACAAACGAATCATTAGGAAGTCTCTTGTGATAAACGCAACTATCATAATTACTCTTGAAGTAATCATGTTTTATCATAAAAGAGTCAAACCGCTTGTATCACTATTGAGGAGACTGTTTTAGGCCATATAAGGATTTCTTCAATAAGCACACATGATCCTCTTTGCCTCAAATCACAAACCATTTTGGTTGATGTATATATATTTGTTCCTTGAGCTTGCCATGTAAGAAAGTTGTTTTGACATCACGTTGCTCCCACTCCAAGTCGAACAATGGTACAATGGCAAGCACCATGCGAATAGAGCTATGTTTCACAACAGGTGAGAAAACTTTATTGAAGTCTACACCCTCCTTCTGACTATAGCCTTAGTCCACCAAGCTTACTTTGAATCTTGTTGCTTCAACCCTCGGGATTCCTTCCTTTTTCTTGAATATCCATTTGCAACCAATAATTTTTTCTATCTTTTTGTGGTTTAACCGACTCCCATGTCTTATTCTTATGAATGGACTAAATCTCCTCATGCATGACAACAATCCACCTAGCAGAATCTGTATTGAAAATAGCTTCTGCGTAACAAGAAGATTCTTGGTTGTCAATGGCCTCTGCTATAGACAATGCATAATGGACCAAATTTGCATGACCATATTATTGAGGTTGTCTGATTTGTTTCTTTGTTCTTCCAGCAGTAATACTATATTGTTGTTGCTCTTGAGGTGCTTTTACAAGATCAGAAACTTGTACTTATTCCTCAATGAGGTGATCCATAGTGCCATCTTGCACTATTTTTGAGCATCTAACTCAAGGCCCACCTACTTGTGGACACCTTCCTTCAAACATTCATCATTTGGTTTTTCTTTTGAATGAAGCATGGATGACTCGTTGTAAATAACATCTCTACTGAACAAGAATTTGGGTGACTTAGGATCAGATACCACAAACTGTACCCTTTAACACTCGAACCATAACTGAGAAGGGAGAAATATGCATTTTTTTTTTTTTTTTTTTTTTTTTTTTTGCGCTTGAGGTTCAAGTTTCCCCATCATTGACATGAGTAAGAGTCGGACACCCAAATATTCTCAATTGTGTTTAATCAACAGGAACTCCAAACCATACTTCTTGAGGAGTCTTCAAACTAAGAACAGTTGATGGAGATCAGTTCACCAGGTAGCATGTTGTACTAATTGCTTTAGCCCAAAAGTCTTTGGACAATCTAAAATTAGAGAGCAAGCAACGAGCTTTCTCCAAAAGTGTTATGTTCATTTGCTCCTAACTTCGTTTGCTATGGTGTTCCTTTAATAGTGCGATGTCTCATTATTCCTTCATTCTTGCAAAACTCATCAAATTCGCCAGAACAGAATTCCAAGTCATTATCAGTTCTGAAACGTTTGATCTTCTTTCCCATTTGATTCTCGATCAAACTCTTGCATTGCTTGAAAGTAACTAACGCCTCATTTTTGTGTTTTAGAAAATATACCCAAACTTTTCTTGAAAATTCATCAATAAAGGTCATAATCCATCGATAGCCACCTTTTGACGGGACAAACAAGGGACCCCATAGATCTGAGTGAATATAATCTACCATACCCTTTGTACGATGAACTGCAGTACCAAACTTTACTCTGCCCTATTTTCCATAGACACAGTGCTCACAAAAGTCAAGTTTGACAATCTTTTTGCCGCCAAGTAAGCCTCGGTTACTTAATTCTACCATCACTCTTTCACTCATATGTCCTAAACGCATATGCCATAAACAAGCAGTATCAGAATCTAAATCTGAGGAAGATGATATTGCAACTGCACTTGTAACCGTACTTCCTTGATGAAAGTGTAAGCCTTTCGTCAACTGCCCATTCATCACAACAAGAGCACATTTACATACTCTTAAAACTCCACTTTGAGTTCAGTACTTACAGCCAAGTGAGTCAAGAGTACTTAAGGATATCAAATTCTTTGAACGTGTTGAAAGTTTGTCAAGGTCCTAACAATATCGTCATGCATCTTGATTTGAATTGTTGCGATTCCAACAACTAGGCAAGATGCATCATTACCCATCAACAGAGAACCACTAGTAGACTGATAAGTGGTGTACCAATCCTTGTTAGGACACATGTGCAATGAACAAGCTAAATCAAGAATCCATTAGTTTCCAGTATGAACATCCAATATTGATAGAATTGTTTCAGCATTAATAGAGGAATTGACTTTCCCAACACCAACTACTTCATTAGCCTTTTCAGACTTTTCTCCTCTATTCTTGAGCTTCCAATAGTCTTTCTTGATGTGCCCTTTTTTGTGGCAGTAATGGCATTCAACATTCTAAAATTTCGATCTTGGCTTGATGACCTCTAAATCCTTTGTCTCAGGGCCCTTTCTCTTTAATGTTCCTCTCGCAACAAGACCTTCGCCTTGAATATCACTTCCATTTCTAGAAAGCTTTTTCCTTAACTCTTGGGAGTTTAGGGAAGCTTTAACATCCTTCATAGAGATGGTGTCTCTACCATAAAGCATGGTATTGACGACATGATCATAGGAATGAGGCAAGGAACATAAGAGGATTAAGCTTCTTCATCTTCAATTTTGATATCAACGGTTTTCAAAACCACAATGATTTGACTAAACTCATCAAGGTGCTACTTCAAGGTATGTTTTCCGCCATCTGGAGAGTATATATTCGTTGTTTTAAGTACAAACGGTTGGTGGGAGACTTGGTCATGTACTAACTCTCCAATTTCTGCCATAGCTTTGCAGTTGTCTTTTCTTCTGCAACTTCATGCAGAACTTCATTAGACAAGCTCAACTGATCAATTTCAGTACAAGCTTTCTCCATTATATCTTCCTTCTCTACATCAAATAATGAGCTTGGTATATTTTCTTTACCAGCTAATGCGTTGTGTAAACTCTATTGAACCAACAGAGCTTGCGTTTTAATTCACCATAAATTGAAGCTATTTTTCCCATCAAAGTTTTCGACATCATATTTCGCTGTCGAAATGTTTGTCACCAGTCTGAAAAATTTTCAAATGGAGTAACGAAAGAGCCTTGTTGGAATAAATAGGAACAAAGCACGTGTCCTACGAAAATGGCTTTGATACCAATTTGTTGTAATAGGCCCAACCCCATAGAGAATGATTAACACAAGACAATTATGAGAAAATTTATAACACACAAATCACAATAATTTACGTGGTTTGACTTTTTAGCCCCTGTCGACAGTCGAACATAAAGTAAGAATAACAAAATGGAGTACACACAAATTTGGTGGAGAAACTCTCAAACCCAGATCCAAATAACTCCCAATATCTATAAACACAATAATACGGAATTTATCCTACATAACAACCCTAATTTATTAAGTTTAGAAAAAAAAAAAAAAAAATATGGACCTTTTTAAGTGTTTTTTTTTTTTTTTTTCATATAATGAGTTTAATTAAACTTGTATAAGATATACCTAATTTATTTATGGAATAAACTTTCATTTATTTTGTTTAAAAGCTTTTATTGAAATGGGTAATTTAGAAATGATGTGAATTATTTGGGCTTTAATTGTACTAACCTATTTATTTGTTTATTTATTTTTTGAAAATTCCGGGCCCACTTTGGTCTAAAGTTGGCTCTGCTTATACCACCTTTAAACTTTATTCACTAGTAGTCGATAATGTAATACATTTGGTTTTATAAATTTCCTTTTCTATATATAGATTTTAATCCATTAGACAATTACTTTACAATATAATCTCTAAGTTTGAAACTCTAAGATGTTTTCTTCTTAATTAGCTTACAATATTTTACTCATTGGATAGTTATGTCATTGTTTGTTAACTTTGCAGTTACGAGTTATATAAAGGAGACACGAGAGGCAAAGTTGATGCATGACAATGTACTTCAAATTGTGAAATACTTGTGCAATGAAATTAAACTGAATCTAGACTATGAAAAAACTTTCTTCATATTCAAAAAGTCGTTTCTTTTAGCAGCAGAATTGGGGGTTTGCGAAATTGTGAAGGAGATTATAAAGTCGTTTCCTGATGCAATTTGGTTTACAAATGAAAAGAAACATAATATATTTCACTTGACAATTATCAATCGTCAAGAGAAGGTATTCAACCTCATATTTAAAATTAGTAGTCACAAGCATTTGTTGCTGATGTCTCGTGATGTTTACGGGAACAATGTCTTGCACTTTGTTGGACTGCTGGCACCAGAAAATCAACTAAATCTCATTCCTGGTGCAGCCTTGCAAATGCAGCATGAGTTACAGTGGTTCAAGGTAAGACTTCTGATGAAACGAGTGTCTAATGTGTCTTATTAGTGTCTCTGTATGGAACGAGTCTCTATTTCTATAGGCGAAGTCTATTACTACTATATGGAATTAGGGATGTCAAAATAACCCATGGGTTTAGAACTCCAAGGAGCCCCACTCTCAGGGGTTGGGTTTGGTTAGTAAAAAATTTGCAGTGGGTTAGATTTGGGTTTAAATATCTCGATTCAAATTATTTTAGTACAGGCATGAGAATGCTAACTTTGACTCTGACCCGCCCCATTTGCCCTAGAAGTATATAAATATGAATAAATAATTATATATAATATTTAACATTAAAATTATAAGAGGTATTAATAAATGGTTATATTCTTTACTTTTTTTTTTTTTTTTTTTTCAAACAAAGAAAACCTTAGCCACCACAACCTTATTCCTCCATTGACTGGCTTCAAATTTTTTTTTTCCATCTTTTCAATTGTGAATCTGAAAATAAGGAATGTTATTAAATGTTTAATATATAATTACTAACATCATATATTTTATTCAACTTCAAAATTGTATGAACATTAACTTTATATTAAATTTTTTCTTTTATATTGTCAAATTAGGTAGTTTAGGTTATAAATTATTTGATGAATTATGATTTTACGTTTTCTAGAATCAGATTTATTATAAAATTATAATTAAATTCACTATCATTTTATTTCTTTTGTTTATAATTTGTTTGGATAATTTTTGTGATAGAATTATTAAACTTTGAGTATAAATTTATATTAGATAATTAAAATTATTGTTTACCATTTTGATTAATTAATTTATTCTAAGAAATAGATTGTATATAGTGTGCTAGATTCAATTATATATATATACACAGAGAGAGAGAGAGAGAGAGAGAGAGAGAGGGATGAGCTAAATAAATAACCCAAACCCAAAACCTGTCCCATTTTTTAGAATGGAAAATGGGTTGGATTTGGTTATTCATAAAATAGATGAGCATGGGCATGGATAATGCCTTTTCAAAAAAAATATTTATCTAAATTTACAATACCCGCAAAGTTGTGATACCATGCTAAAGGGTAATACTTTTATGACGTACACTCGCAATCTTTCCTATATTCTATTTTTGTAATTAACAAGTTTATCTTATGCAGGAAATAGAGAATATTGTACAGCCTGCCTACAAAGTGGATAAAAATTTTAATGGAGAAACTCCTGCAATGATATTTACTGAGGCACATAGGGAACTCGTTAAAGAAGGTCGGGATTGGATGAAAGTTGTAGCAAACTCATGCTCACTAGCAGCAGCTCTGATTGCCACTATTGTGAGTGAATGCTGAAACGGCGTCGTACTGAATTAATGGAACGGTGTCGTTTTGAGACAGCTCCTGGATGATCCTGACCGCTGATTCAGAGGAAAAGCCAACGGCTGAGATCAAGCCTCCAGTCAACACTATAAAAGGATTAGGGTTTCCTGTTGTAACAGTAGATCAAACACAAAAAGGGTTGAGAGCAGTTTTTCGTTTTTATTAGAAAAACTAGGGTTCTTTCTTTGGGTCTGATTTCTGTGTAATCTGTGGGTTTCTTGAGTGGTTTGGGTTAATCAATCAAGGGAAGAACTACTGTGTTCTTGTTATAGGTATTTCCAGGTTAGAGTAGTCTTAGGGCAGATTACGGGTTCAGATCAGAGTTGTTCGATCTGGGTTTCTTGGGTGTCATTCTTTGTAATCGTGACTGTTATCAGTTTTTCTTTAATCATAGTGCAGCGAACTCCTTTTCCAGAGTTCAACGTGGATGTAGCTTGCTCAAATCGAGCAAGTGAACCACGCTAAAGATCCGGTGTTTATTGTTTGTTTTTCTGGTTTCTGGTTTGTTTCAGTTTGCATTATAGGTTGATTGCATAACAGTGGTATCAGAGCCATCGTCCTAGGGTGTAATCTTTTTGAAATCGTTCAATTTTTGACAGATCGAAAAATTTAGAGTTTGCTCGAAAAATTAGGGTTTCTCAGATTTTAGGGGTTTCTTAATCTAAAGGTTCCTAGAGCCTTAGAACTTTGATTCTTACTAAGTCTTGGGGTTTTCTTTGTGAGATTAGATCACAAACACTGGTTAAGGAGAGTAATCTTGGTTAGTGCCGTGAGTCTGTACTTGCACTGTTCTCTTTCAGTTGTCTGTCCAGTTTAAGGGTATATAGGCTGGAAACCAGTGACCGCCTTAAAAACTGCTTGGCAGTATTTGGCAACTTCTGGTGTAACAATGGCCACTTACCCTTAGACTGTATCACACTGTCTATATAACATCATGAGCACTACACGTATGGAGATCTACCAATACGATGAGAAGATCGTTTCGGGAGTTGGAAGAAGAAATGAAGGCTCTGCTTTCACATAACATCGCCCTAGCACTGGAGAAGGATCAAAAGAAATGGTCCGAGGAGAATTGAAGGAGAAGGAGGAGATTGTGAGCTACCTACAATCTGATCGTGATGAACCTCTCAGACAGCGTACTGGAAAGGTTGATGGAATCGAAACCCCTCTAGGGTTATAGGGTAACTCGAAACTTTGTATGCTTTCAATCTGCACCTAACTTAGCTTTCTCAAGGGTGCTTTGTTTCTTATAAAATGGATAGTACAAGACAATAGGAGAACCTAGATGAATTCCTAAAAATGACCTTAATTTTAAAGGGCACAGACAGGAATTGGAGAGACTAGTCTAGCCATGATTCTGTTAAACTCCATTACTGAGGATTATCTTGTTGTTAAGAATGCACTTCAGTATTCCGATACTGTTGTAGCATTGACTTGATTGTGGCTGTCTTAAGGCTAGAGAACTTGAGTTGAAAGTCCAAAAACGAAGTGGGAGTAACCTGTTTGTTAGGGGAAAACCAGATCCTTTCAATCTGGTAAAGGCAGTCAACCTAGCCGGGGTCCAAAAACAAGAAACGGGGTAAATGGAACAATAACCATAAGGCAGAGTCTAGAAAATGTTTTTTCTGTAATAAAACTGGTCACCTGAAAAGAATTGTTTTGAATGGCTTAAAAACAAAACAGGAAACACAGAGTAACCTAGCCTCATCCAAAACTTAGCTAAGAAACAGAGGTCCTTACTGTCTTGTTACTGACAATACAAGAGAATGGGTGTTAGATTCGGGTGCTCTTTTCACATGAGTTCCAATAGGGACTGTTTTCATGACTTTGAAGAATTGATAGGGAGACTGTGTTCATGGGGAACAACAATGCCTGTAGGGTCAAAGGTAAAGGCAGTATAACCCTTAGACTCTGTAATGAGAAACTAATAAAACTAACGTTAGGTACATTCCAGAACTATAAAGGAACCTCATATCCTTAGGAACCTTATAAGAAGGATGCTGTTACAGAGCTGAAAATGGGTGGCTGAATGTGTATAGAAACCAGAATCTAATTCTGAAAGGAGAAAAGGTATGGATTGTACATCCTATGTGGAGAATATTATTCTGATTGCCTAAGTTCTTCTGTGTCACCCCAAATATGTCAGTAACAGAAAAATGGCACCTTAGAATGGGACATATATCAGAGGGACTAGATATCCTAAGTAACCAAGGCATGTTAGGAAAGGAACTGCTGCAACCTTAGAATTTGTGAGAACTGCATTTTAGGAAAACAGCACAGAGTCGGTTTCCCAAAAGGCAACACCTGGCCAAAGGTTGTTTAGAATACATACACTCAGACTTATGGGGACCTGGAGAGTGAGGTCTCATGGGGGGCAGTAGCTACTTTATGTCCATTGTAGGACTTTAGCAGAAAGTGTGGATTTACACCCTTAGAACTAAGACCAGGCTCTGTCTAAATTTCAAGAGTGGAAAGCCCTTGTGGAAAACCAATTAGACAAAAAGGTAAAAACCCTAAGGACTGACAATGGATTAAGTACTGTAACAATGAGTTTGATAAGTTTTGTAGTGAGCAAGGAATCCTAAGACATAGAACTGTGAAAAAACCCTCAGCAGAATGGGGTAGTTGAGAGGATGAACAGGACACTCCTGGAAAAATTCAGATGCTTGTTGTTCACTTTAGGGTTACCTATCTTCTAAGGAGAGGCCTTGTCCACTGCAGCCTTCTGATAAATAGGAGCCCCTAAACTGCCATAAATTTCAAATGTCCTGAAGAAGTTTGGTCAAGAAGAAAGCCTGGTTTAAGCCATTTGAGAATCTTTGGGTGTACAGCCTATGCCCATACAGTGGGAGGAAAGTTAGAGCCTAGATCCACCAAGTGTGTGTTCCTAGATATCAAGATGGTACAAAGGGTATAGACTCTGGGACAGAAAGTCACCAGGGGTAAAAATCATCATTTCCAAGGATGTGGTCTTTAATGAAGGAGAGTTCCCTTGTAAAACCAATGAACAGAACACTGGTACAGCACCCCAACTGAACCTACCAAGATACAACTGAGAGTACAACCATTGAGTGGAGCCTGTGGTCAGCAGGCTGAACCACCTCAACCCAATGAGGAACATGCACCTGAAAACCAACCAGGATCAAAGGATCCTGATCTGATAGTGAAGAAAATGAAGCAATGCCTCAGAGCCCAACATGCACACTTAGAACACTATCAACTTGCCAGAGACAGAATAAGGAGGGAGGTAAGACCCCCTGCCAGGTTTTCTTATGCTGAACTAATATACACTGCTTTGCTTGCAGGAACAGGGATTCAAAGAACAGAACCAGCTCATATGAAGAGCCATAACTCTAAGGAAAAGAAAATGGAGGCAAGCAATGAAGAGGAAATGAGGTCACTTGAGGTAAACAGAACCTGGTCCTTGGTTCCCAAACCGAAGGATCAAAGCTAATCAATGCAGATGGCTGTACAAGAAAAGAGGGAATCTCAGCTACTGACCCCCTTAGGTCCAAGGCCAGTTAGTAGCTAAGGGTTACACCCAACGTGAAGGAATAGACTTCAATAAAGTCTTTTCCCCTGTAGTCAAGTATAAACCATTAGGTTAATGCTCTCCATTGTTGCCCATTATAACCTAGAGTTAGATCGATGGACGTTACCACTGCCATTCTGCTGGTAACTTAGAAGAGGAGATTTACATGAGCCTTTATTGATCCCAAGAACCTAACCATTTTTGCATTCTGCACAAATCACGTATGGACTGAAACATCCCCGAGAACAATGGTATAAAAGGTTTGACAATTTCATTGTAAGTATAGGATACACTAAGTAGATATGATAACTGTTTCTATTTTAATTTGAATCAAATCTGCCTGTATATCTTTTACTGTATGTGAATGATATGTTACTTGTGAGTAAGTCTAAGTCTAAATTCATGAGTTAAAGGGTCAGCTTAGATCAGAATTTGACATGAAGGACCCGGAAATGCCAAAAGAATCCTAGGGATGGACATTATCAGGAACAGGGACAACATGAATTAATCATTAGGCAGAAATCATACTTAGAAAAACGTGACTAAATTTGGTATGGCTGACTCAAAACCAGTGTCTATGCCTCTTGCAAACCATGTTGTGTAAACAAAAGCCAATGCCCCACAACTGTAATAACTGCTTCATACTAGGTTACTCATAGAAATACATAAGTAAATGCATTTATATTAGCAAAAGTAATGGGCCCGAAATTTTCTTAATACATATAATCATTCTTTATCCAAGTAGTATCATTTGTAAAAGTTATCAAAACAGTGGACAGTGTAGCTATTGCTCCTCGCTTGCCAACGCCCATCCGACCGCGTCCTCACCTAGATCCTGCAACACAAAAGATAAACAACGGGGAGCACAAAATAATGCTCAGTAAGTAATCCTCTATTCGTCTATCCCCGTAACTCTTTCTCTTAATTCTTTCCTTACACTCTTCTCCTCTCATTTATTTCTTTTTCTGTTTCTGTTTCTCTTTCACATAGCTCTCTTTTCTATTATCTTTCTGTTGTATGTCACAGCCTCATCTTACCGGAGGCACGGCTGAGTGGAGATCACAAAGCACCCACCCACTCTTTGTGACTTCTACTCTTCTGTTTTCTCTCTTCTTCTCATATTTTCTCTTTCTTTCTTACTTGAATGTCACGGCTCCTCTTACCGGAGGCACGGCCGGGTGAGTTCACAAAGCACCAACCCACTCTTCGTGACTTCCGGGGTGAGTTCACAAAGCACCAACCCATTCTTAGATTTTTCTCATTCTCTTTACTTTTAGAGTAGCTCATTCACAAAGTTCTCTACTCTTTCTCAAACTACTTCAATGCACAATTAATGCATAAGTATGTTTCATGCTTAAAGTTTCTTACTTAATCACTTATGAAATACACAAATGCAATATTGCATCAAGATAGTCATCTGCCTGTCACACTCAAGAAGACA